GGGATGCGGTATTATGGGGTGGGGGTGGGAGAGGGGGGTACCTCACATCTTAAGAATCTTTCCCTGATCCCAACCTCATTATATGAATTGAGAAAGAATATCTTCTTCCTTAAATTTTGATAGTATGGAGTCAACTTTACACTTCTGTCTGGAAAGCAAGCTAGTTCCACAGATGTGTCTAAGAAAAGGAACAATGTAGAAGACGAACAAAAGGAAGATTTTCTCTCCGTCGAAATTGTCCAAGATGGTCACCCATTGTCCGGGAGAAAAATGGACATCTTAGTGCCATTATAATGTAGAAAAAGGAGGAAGGTGGACGTCTTAATGCCATTATGATGAAGAAAAAGGAGGAAAGTGGACGTCTTAGACAGGTGGATTTCTCAGACAGTTCATTATAATACAGAAAAAAAAGGGGGAAAGAGGGAAGTGGTCGCTTGGACAGATGGTTGTCTGGGACGGGCGGCAGTTAAAGAAAGTACACTAGGACAGTTGACTCCGATTGCGTTGAATTCGTTTGAGTTGATCTAATTTTCAGACCTACAACAGGGAATATCTTTCAGTTATCTCTAAAGAGATCAGACCTACACAGGGAACATCTTTTAGTTATCTCAGGAAAGATCAGACCTACAACAGGGAATATCTTTCAGTTATTTCTAAAGAGATTAGACCTACCTCAGGGAATATCTTTCAGTTATCTCTAAAGAGATTAGACCTACCTCAGGGAATATCTTTCAGTTATCTCAAAAGAGATCAGACCTACAAAAGACCATCTTTCAGATATCTCTAAAGAGACCAGACCAGAGGAAAAATCTTTTGGTTATCTCTAAAGAGATCAGACCTCAGGGAATATCTTTCAGTTATCTATAAAGAGACAGACGACTCGACAGACTATCTACTCGAGCACAAGGAAAGGATCAGTGTGGTTACATGCACAGAAAACTAGCCTCAAAGACAAGGCATTGGCAGTTTGTTGGTTTGGCGACATGAGAGAAGCGTTGTACAGTTTGCATGTTTAGTCAAGCAGTAGCGGTCACTGAGAGAACAGTTCGCGGGCAGTATTGCATACAGACATATCGAAAAGGCCGCCAAAAATGACTTAGATCGGATTGTAATACTGCCCGCGAGTTACGAAGTCTTTGCACTTCACATAGATATATTGTATAAATACATATTTGTATACAAAAAGCTGTTTGAAAAGAAGGTAAAAGATAGAAACTCAGTACTGAAAAAAAACCCCACTTCATTCACAAGTGCTACAAAAACTTCAAATAAGATTATTTTCCCTCAAGGCAAAAAGAAGCAAGCTGTCCTTTGTGTCAGTCCATCACAACCCTCAAAACAGAGTCCAATCCACCTTCACGATCACCAGGTGAAACCAAAAGTCTCCCAATCTTTTATCACCGTGCACTAAAACCCTCAAATTTTCACCACTTTTTGTTTATTTCGATAATAAAATAAGAAAGGTAAAAAAGGACATGTTGGCAAAAAATGGCCCAATTCCCGCAGTGATACGTATAAAAAGTTGAAAGGAACCAGTGAGGAATCCTGTGTGTTAGATAGAAATAATATGAAAAAGCATCAGGCACTGCTGGTATATGGTTTGACTATGTTTGCAGTATGAGCTCAAAAGCCTCCACCAGATCTGAAAAGACATATTCAGATATTTTTGATTCGATTAAAAGCCCGGCTGCTGAAACCTTTTGTATTGGCGTATTCTATCTTCTGATACGTCCTCCTGCAGAAAATGTGAGAACACATGATTAGAAAATACATATATATTAAAACAAACAACACATTGGCGTCGATTAAGAGCTCAAACACTAACAAACTAACAAGATCTTTTGCTGTCTATAGCCGGGTACTCATTCTCATCTGGATGAAGTAAGGAAAATTTGTATTAAGTGCCTTTCTGAAGGACACAATCTCAGGCCCCTGATGGGGTTTGAACTCATGATCTTTCGGTTTTGAGTCCAACAGACTAACCACAAGACCACTGACGCTAGTCTATAACTTCCTGCTACAATACATAATAGAATTGACAGTTAAGTAGAAAGCAGTGATGTCATCATATCTTTGCTCCTTACAATTTCTCAGTATTTTGAAATCTGAAACCTCCTTGAAAGACTCACAAAGAAATAACTGAGCATGGGAAGCATGAATGTCGTTTCACATATCACTGGCTCAGTCACTAAGCTGGAAACAAAAATCAAGCAGCCAATCTCAAGGTCAGGGGGAAATTTAATCCTTCTTGTAAGAATAAAATACCTTCAATTTGTAACATTTTAAAAATGTAAACTCATTTCATCCTGATTTTCCATCACCTCTATGAAAGTACAAGTTGCACTTTCAGTCTACGGAGGACACCTCACAAAAGACTAAAGACGTACAATACTTTTCTCTTTCCCATACAACCGCATCAAGAACACTTCAAAATAAAATACAAATAGAGGTATTAATTAACATTAAGATAGCATACTATTTTTTAAAAAGATTTTCATAAACAGGGATGCCACTGAAATGAAGTGAAAATTACTGAAAATTAACTGAAATTCTAAAAACAAAACAAAGTTTAACAGAAACAACTAATATTAGGTTCAACAGAAAAAAAATAACTGTCTTGAAGACTGATTTCAGTGAAAATAACGAAAATGCCCCCCTTCCCCCTAACCCAGAAAAGGGAATCCCTGCATACAGCAGAAAACTCCGAGTAATAAATAAGCATGAGAGACAAAAACAAAAACCAAACAAAAACATACTTCTCCAGCGACTCGCGGAAGTGCAGCATGGCGTATTCCATCATGGAGAACTTGCCGTCTGCCACCACCGTGCCCTGGCTCGTCTCGCTTCTGTCGTCTGGACCGTGAGAGTCTTGCTGTTGGGGCCCACACAGAAAAAACAACAACATGATAATAGTGTAATAATAATGAAAAATAATAATAATAATATATGACATTTATATAGCACTC